CGTCTTCGCAGCGGTTGAGCCATGCGATGACTGCTGGCGGCCGCCAGTCCCCACTCACAACGAACACACAGCAAGGAGCCGCTTCCTTGAAAAATCTGCGCGCCTTCGTCGTGTCTACATTTGTGTCTGGAGGGTCACAATTAATCATGGACGCCCATCGAATTCGGGTTACTGTACCTACATGAACATGGTCCTGTGTACCGGCAAGTATGGCAGATGGTGCGGATGCGGGGCGCATTGCAAGTCTCTGTAGACAAGCAAGTGACACAGGGATATGCTAATATTGTCCGATAGGTCAAGTTTGGCGGTCCTCGTGAGCTTCTGCGGGGAGGTGGAGGCGTCATGCCCTTGGTGTGAGCAAGCAAGGACAAAGAGGCCTTACTGCCGTTGGTAGAAGCTTCGGCATATGACAGTGACTGTACATAGTGGCAGAGAATTGTTATCACACTCGGAAATATAAAACAGCATAGATCATGAAGGAGATATCGGACAAAGCAGCAAGCAACACAACAAGCAAGAAGAGGGAGAAGGAGGAACACTGAACCAGCCTGTATGGGTACAAGTTTTCCTCCGATGAAGATCAAGGCCGCCTATAATAGGGGCCATCGTCTCGGTCGTAACGAGGTTGGTAGTCTCTAGGAGGTCGTCCCAAATCCCGCGGCGGGCCAGCGTACCTATCGCCATCAAAGCCATTGGGGTGGTAGCCTGGGCCACCGTATCTCCAATCATGCCGAGGAGGCGGGCTGAGTGAGCGACGTCTAAGAGAACGTGATGTCTAAGTTCACGATGTTCCATGCGAAAAGACCAAGCCTACCGATGTCGAGACCGATCCATACCGCTGCTATGAGGATATTCACGGGGAGGGGTTATTGGTCGTCCACGTCCCTCTGGCGGGGGACCAGGAGGAGTCCGTGGCCTTCCCCCATTCGGTAAGTGAGGTGGGGGTCTATCGTCCATCGGAGGCCGCCTATCATATCGTTCATAGAAATCACGAGATGGCGGCGGTGAAGACGGCATATAACCCTTAGGAGGGTAATCTCTCTCAGGTCCATATGCTCCAGGCCGGCCATAGCGAGATGGAGCAGGAGGGAAAGGGAGATGAGGAGAAGGGCCCCGCATGCGATAGTCGTCATAGTCGCGGCGTGGAAAGGGAAAGCCCATTGGAGGGAAGCCACGAGAGTCACGCGGAGGAGTCATAGGTAGCCTGTAATCTCGTCCCGAAGGTGGCAGGGAAAGATAGTCATAATAGCGAGCATCCCCTGATGTGGGGTACCTTGTAATTTCGTCTCGATATAAAGGGAAGTCCCTAGGTGGAAGGGGAGGATGGTCACGAAGGGGGTGTGTGCGGTCGAATAGAGTCGGATCATGCACTGGACCAGCACGACTAACGAAATGTATTAGAATCTCCTCTACGACGAGCTGGAGAAATAAAACACTTACGACTGAGTCGTTTGGCGAGGGCATTCCCTGTTACGTATTTGCCTTAATATTGCGTCAACTAGATGTTACGGCAAACCTACCGTGCCCAGTGCCCACTTTCACCACATTTGAAGCATGCGCCAGGATCCTCAGACCGTTTGGCAACACGTCCACGGTGGTGGGAAAGCTCGACACGAATTTTATTTCCCATGAAGAATCCCTCATGGTACTTCGCGACACTTTCTTCAGCAGCTTCCTTGCTCTCGAATTCCTACCGATAGTGAATAAATACCAATCACAAGGACAAATGAATAGTGCCCTACCACGAACCCATATCCAACTCTGTAAGGAAAAAAGACACGACAATGAGCGAAAGCTCTTCTGCAACTACTACTCACTCACTTGAGTTCGATGTTGGCAATGTTCCCGATTTTTCCAAAACAGTTTCGTAGGTCCTCCTGGCGGGTGTGATCAGGGAGGCCACCGACATAGACCTTGTTCGGCTGGGCAGCGCAAAGAATTTAATACCAGGCGAGCAGTGAAGCGACAGCGAGAACAAAGCCAGGACCAGTCCAGGGAGACAAGGTGCCTCTACACATAACCGCCCAAGGGCACTGAGTCCAGACAAGCAAGCAGACGAGCGCCATGTTGAAGGAAGGCGAGGAACCAGTCGTCGCGTCCTCATATCTCGGACATCGGGGCAGTAGCAGGTCCAAGTACCAGTTTCCAGTCAAAGCCAAGAACACAACATGGGCGGCAGGCGGCCGCGCAAAGAAAAACGTGTGGATAAGACGCAAACGAGATAAGGGACAGACACGGGATGATACGGCGGGCGGACAAGAAACTAGACAGCATACACAAGAGGATAAGACCTAAGCACCTTGAGTTGTTTTTCACGACCAGAATCTGCTTTGTTGCCAGAAGTATCTTCGTTAGCCTTGGTGACTTCTAGAGCCTGTCCAGCATTGTTTGTGTGAGTGTCGCCTGTCGCGTTTTCAAGTTCGTGGGTGGTGACAGGACCCATTGTATCAAGGTCCTGGTCGTCAACCGAACTCCACTTGTCTGTGGTTTGTATATCAGATCCCACTGTTGTCGAGGACGCCGCCATAGCTTAATGGATGGTTTCAACTTGGATCATTGCTAACAGAAGTGATATATTTATTTGACTTGTTATCTTATTATGATTGGCCGAAAATTCAAAATATCTCATGTTCCCCCCCTCAATTATTTATAATATGCACCAGAGAAAGTGATAAACTAGATTGTCCAGGAGTCTATTAAGCGGATTCCAACAGACCCAATGATTTACACTACAGGAACGCAAAACAAGTCCACCACCAGTCCATATAGAAGTGTCACGTCAAGATGGTCCACTGCCCTCCTCACAGATCACACCTAGTACACTCAGGCGAGTATCCACAAGCCGCTGACAACACTAGTAACCACGAGCGTGACAACTCCAAAGAGAGTTCTGGCGTCAACAGCAATAGCGCCGTTGGAAGTCGAGGGAGAAGAACCTGAACCAGACCCTCCGCCAGAGCTGCTAGAACTGCCGGCTGGCAACGTAGGGACAGAAGTGCCAGTGCCACTCGCCAAGCAAGACGAAGCCGCCGAGTTAGCTGCACTGGTGCCGGAGGGTGCCTTGGAGTTAACAGTACCGTTCCCGCCAAAGCTACATGCTGTAGGGTTGTTGTTGTTGTCAAGGTAGTACTGAGACATCACCCAGGATAACATGACAGCTGTGCACAACATATATCAGCGAGAACGATCATCAAATAGTAGGAAGTTACGGACTTGGGTCACACGCAGACACGGCACCATACACGCCAGTAGTACCGTTGGCAGAAATTGGAGCACAAGTTCCGCCAGATTGCCCGAGCAGGCTGCAACCGTAGTCAAGCAGCGAACCAACAATCGCGCTGTAGTTGGACGTTGTAGGAGTAAACTGGCAGCTCAAGTTGTTCTCCAAGCAGGTGCAAGCAGCGAAATTAGGGGTGAATGGCAGAGTAGTCGAAGCAAGCATGTCAGAGCTCTGCTGAGGGCAGGCCGGATAGCTCGGGGATCCAGCCTCGCTTTGAGAAGGCGAATTGGGAGGTGCAGCCTGGGTATACTGGGTCTCGAGGTTGGTGAAGTCTTGGCTGACAGTAACGGTGCTACCATCAGGAGAGATCGTAACCATGCCGAATTGACCCTGCACACTTTCGGCAGGGAAGTACGAGAAAGCAATACCACCTGACCAGACAGGAGACATATCGGAGCTAAGGAGAGCAGCAACCTCGGTCCACACACGCGGGGTAGATGTGATGCAACCGAACTCGCTGAAGTAGGCGGCAACGTTGTAGGAAGAAAAGAGAGTCTCTGTTGCAGCGTAAGAAGCTTCGAAGGTCGAATCACCACACCATTCACTAAACAGTCATGCTTTATGTCAGGGAGACTGAAGGCGGCTTGCATGTTGGACTTACTAGTTGTTCAGCCCGTACAGATCAATAGCAGAGGCGCCAGAGTTGGTCCCTGAGATATCACAAGAAAGATATTCTGCCAGGGGGTAAATCCATGACGAATCACCATCGATGGAAGCATAACCGACAAGGGCGGAGGATTTGATGGAATTACTTTTGCGCGTGTGGGTAATAAACCTGGAAAGAGGACGCAGCTACTCACAGATATGCCTTCACATCACGGGCGGCAGCTTTGACAAAGGTAGCGGCCGCAGTTCCGTTGGGTGCTGTTACGACTTCATTGCCTACATTGTACGCAAGAACGTTGTCATATTTTGAGAAGACATTGATGGTCGCAATATATTGGTCCAAAAGAGCTGTCGTCCACGAGGGGGCAGTACGATCAATAGACCCATTCACAGGTAAAGAAAGATCAATACTGTAGTTACCGTCAGGGGTTCAGATGTGCCTGAGATCGTCAGGAGTGGGTACTTACACAGTATAAATTCCAGCGCCGCTGAATAATTGCATGCATGCGTCGTGATTTTGGGTCGAATCCACGCTGTATGCACGAACAGTGTTGACACCGAGCTGTTGAAGATAGGGCAAGTCACGCTGACAAGCCGTGCCATTCGCCAAAGGATCGACGTAGGTGGAGGGTTCAAGAAAAGGGTTGTTCGGGTCAGCAACAACCTGACCTGTAGGGAGAAAAAAATTGAGAGCACGTTCCAAAGATAGGTATGCTGGATACACACCCTGCTCCTGATACGCAACACCTTTGATGTAGAATCTGGTTCCGTCGGCGGTGTACAAGTATCTTCCTGAGCGAGTGACCTGCTGAATGGCCCGTGCGCCAGACAGAAGGACTCCCGCCAAGGTAAGCGCAGTCGTAATTCGGGCAGCTTGACGCATGGCCGACAGGTGAGAGAAGTAAGGGTAAGGTAGGGAGGGAGTGTAAGAGTCAAAGACTGTAAACTGTCTGACTTTTGGAGGGATCCAGGATTCCGCAGTGTGGGTAGATTCAAGTTATAAATTTAATTTTGAAGGGAACATGCGAAAGCAAACCTTGGATTGCTTATGTAAGCACATCCCAAACAAGTAGCACGATGCTAACATGTGATCTCATGACTGATAAATGTTATCGCCCGCCTAGCTCAATCGGATAGAGCGTCAGACTCTTAGGCTGGGTGATCTGAAGGCTGCGAGTTCGACCCTCGCGGTGGGCTATCTGCTCTACTTTTTTCTTCTTCAGATGAAGATCTGACAGGGACTACTTACTAACCATGGTATATTGATATCCAATGATTGTCACGTTTACTTTGGCGTTGGTACATAACTCAAATAACATGTACTAGATAGTCCCACGGCTTCGTGTGTACCCAGTGTTCGTGTTTCGACTCTGGCGCACTCAATTCAAGTCGCGATGGCTTTTTAATATTTGGACTTGGGCTGGTGGGAGTGTTACAAGCAGGGCTGTATATTTTCTTTAACAGAAATCGAGCAGCTCGTTGCACAAGGATGGCATCCATAGTGCTCGAGGGTGATTTCAGGCACTTTATAACACATACCTGGACCACACATCAACTGTACAATACAAGAATATTTATTTGGATGAAATACATGGCCAGAAACCTGAAAATAATTTCTCTGAGGGCTTTTGATCATAAGGATCAGCTACAAAATGAGAGAGGAGGATATGTGTGACATAGGAGTAACTCTGGTTGAAATAGGAAAGCCTGAATTCAGTCTCCGTCATGCCGAATTTCCTGTTAAGGTGCGTTCACTAGCTTCGCCAGAGTGTTGGTTGACACATTGAGTTGCTGACTTGATTTCGGCACTGCGGCATTTTGTGACACATTGTGACACACCTCAGAAAAAAGCACGAACACTAGGTGTAGCCAACATTAATATTCCCTCACGGTAAGTTCTCCGCTGCTTTACCATTTCCGTTTTTTTACCATAAAAATTACATGGAGCTCTAGCCAAGGCCCTACCCTACATCCGAGCAAGGAGAAAGTATCAACTGGAATTTGTGGTTGGTAAGTTATTCGTTGTACTTATAAAAAAACGCGAACACTGAGGGACATCTAGTATATATACAATCATCTTGGCCAGTTTTCGTCGTTACGATGAGACAGCAGCAGTAGATACATCGGCAAATTCCGATTAAGCATTCGTGTGATGAAACCTTAATCCAGCCACTGTACAGTTTTTTCCGAACGCGGAAATCTCATGTGCTGCATCACTCGCCCGCTAGTGTCTACGTCCCCATCGAAAGCCTCAACGTCGGCAAGGTAATAACGTGTCGCGGTTGAATCGCCCAACACGATTGCTGATACATCTCCTTTCTTTGACAGCCTCAAGAAACCACAAAATGACACACGACGCTGTTTGGTTCTCTCGTCCTAGAAAGTTCGGCAAGGGCAGCCGTCAATGGTCAGTTTAGTGACATCGTCTTGAAGTTTCCCCTGTGCCCATCTCCGCGCTTTTCTTCTCACAGTCGACTCTGCGCTCACCAGGCTGGTCTCATCCGTAAATACGGTCTTGACCTCTGCCGTCAATGCTTCCGTGAAAAGTCTGCTGCCATCGGCTTCGTCAAGGTACGCTGCGGTACCTCACTCATTCTCGTATTTGCTCACGTTTCTCGTCAGAACCGGTGAAAACATCTGTGCTGTTTGCATCTATTAGCTTATCACTTTTCTCTCTTTACATGGCACATCGCCATAGGTCGTCTTGTATGTCACCATGGTATTCTGAACAATTGCAAGATCTTTGAAGCCACTTGTGTATGATTATTCCGTGGACGGAGAGGACGAAGGCATGTCCGAAGCTAGGACATAGAAACTGCGTCATAGATATCGCTTCAGACACCGTATAGTTGTTCTGGATAGCGCAACATCACATGCGGGTGGGATCCGAAAAGCGACGACGCGTAGATTGCACAATAAGTACAGAAGGTAGTGCTGCGGCAGGTTAGCCATTAAACAGACATTGCTTTAGATGAGTGGAAGATTAGGGCTGTACAAATGCGGCAGATGAAGGTCAAAGGGAAAATGTTCAGAAAGCAAGACTAATAGCAATGGGTTGGGTTTGTGTATGCCGGACCAATGTACAAGTGCGCGCGGTGGTATGATCGAAGCCGGCTGAGGCCCGTTAAACAATCTCCCGAAGCCAAGATTGGAGCCAAGCAACACGAAGAGAGGTATCGGGTGGTCGAACGCAAGGGACATAGAATATACATAGAAATAGGGCATGCATTAAGGAGCGAGTCGGAGATGCGACGGCGGCAACGCTGATGATGACTGGGGGCGTCTACATCCCATAGCCATAGCTCTGATAGGGATCATTCAACGATCCGGCCACACCAACGTTGCCAAAGCTCACGTTAGTGTACGCGGATACACCAGAATAGCCACCAGCGTGGGTATGCGGGGGAGTCAGGCTGGGGTGTTGAGGCGAGTTGTTTTGCAAAACGTATCCGTCAATAGAACGCGCTTGAAGACTGTGTAGTTGAGGAGCCAGATGAGAGTGGACGTAAGAGCCATGCCCTTGCATTCCGTAAAGGCCAGCCTGGGATCCGTACATGTCCGCCATGGGACTGCTTGGGTGGAGGTTCTGTGGAAGGTGCCGCCCAGCAGCAGAGGGGTGGCCAAGACCCAAGGCCTGGTTACCAAGATTCATGTTGATCATACTCTGATGACCGTGGTATCCTCCACCGTAATTGTCCACTTGTTCGCGTTGAAGCTTGTTCTGGATGCGTTTGCCGTAGGGAGTGTTACGGATCAACGGCAATACAGGCCGAATGCCGTCGACGAGCAGAGCACGTTGGTTGGGTTCGGCATAATCCAGAGCAGTCTGAATGCCATGATCAAGAAAAGTAGGGAGAGCGGATGCAAGGACTAACCTGAACACAGTAGTTGCCGTACGAGTCGCGCAGCAATTTCTCAAGACGGGAACGATTGAGTAGCTCCTCGATCAGCATTTTTCGTGTGCTATGTTCGGCCACACGAATGCACTACACGAGTCAGCACGGGAAAGCTACTGCAACAGCCAGACTTACTTTCTCAATGACATTGGAGCTGAATTTTTGAACAGAAAGCGCGCATACATTGCCTGCAAATTGGCGGATAACACCATCGCTGAAGCGGTTGTCGTTCAGGTCCAAGATATATTGTACGACCTGAAGGTGGTTCGTAGTCAACAACTCAGTACCATGACAGTATTCCGGAGAACTCACATAGTTTCCGTAGGGATCCTGAACCAACGTGAGGGCATTGTAGGTGATCTCATTCACAAGCTGGACACGTTGGTGGTCAGAGGCATGGTCGATGCATCGCTGCAACACACAGCATCCATGGCGGTGAGTGGCGACTTCAACACAGTTAGCGGCGACAGCATTATAGATAAACTGCATTGAAATGCGATGAGCGAGATGACGAGAGACGATTGAGAGAACATGCCTGATTGTCTTCGGGTGCCAACTTATTGAGACATTTCTGAATAACATGATTGCCGTTGAGGTCCTTGATAAGAACTACAACATGGAGGCTGAGCGCCACAATAATGGAGTGAATCTGAACATTGTATCTTTGATCAGTCTAGATTCCCCCGTAAGTGTGGAAGAGAAAACATAAACTGGAATTATACTTGCCTGTCGTCTGGTGGATAGGAAATCGATCATTTTTTGTACAGCACGAGTGCCATGCATGTTAAGTGAAATATTGACCAAATCCTGCGCGACGGACTCGCAGATGACGTTCCGTTGCTCATCGGTGGAGTATTCCAAGAGCTTTTGGCACAAATAGTTACCAAATGGATCTTAATTTCACTCTAAATATTGCACCGCTGTCACATGAGAATGTCCAACGCACCTGTCATCAAGTCGGCAAAATGTCCGAAAGTTTCACGGAAGATCATATCGCGGTGTTCTGGAACGCTCTCCTCGAGCTTCTTCTGAAGGTACCGACAGCCATGCTGATCCTTGCATAATGCAGGTATCTCCCCTTGCAGGTCCTCAAGACGAGTACCAGCGAATCGGTTAACTGCGTGGATACCGTAATCAGTATCCCAAGTCACGTTTAGCAGGCCAAACCAGAACTCACGATCCACATCACCACGCTTGTGCTTGGGACCGTGTAGGCCGTTCATCTTGCTATCGGGACCACCACCACGACCGAGACCATAACGAGACCCGTTGTGGTGGTAGAGCGCAGTTGACCCGCTTGTGCCATTGCCATTTGAACCATTGCGTCCAGTAGAGTCAAAACCGTAAGCGTTATAACGATCGCTGTCTAATTGACCAGTCAAGCCATAAACCGAGTCAGCGCCATACTGCTGTTCAACTATGAGCCACTCTTGAAGAAAGAAAAAAGCCAGAACAAAGGAATATACCTCAAAGGACATGCTGGCACTATCAAATTGACCAGATGATAGCCGCGACAGGGATGGTTGAATGTCGACTTTGTTCGACCCCTCGAAGTGATGGCTGCCATGCGAAGACAGGCGACCGCTCAAGCTTTGAGAGTCTGGCGTGAGAGGTGTTCCTGGAGTCTGCAACATATGGTTGCTAACACCGTTGGCAATTGATAAAGGTGTGGCGGGAACAGAGCGCGTTGTAGCGGAAAGGCCATCGAGGGCACCAGAAGGCGAACCCCGACGAGAAGATGGAACTATACTAGCTGAACCGAGGTTCATCTGAGAGTGTTGGCCAACGAGAGGAGTGGAAGTCCCAGATACCGTGTTGGTAAGCTTCGCGCCCGAATCTATTGAAGACGTCAACGTCAGGGTCGGATTCGTCACAGTGCGGCGGTCGTTCCGGGAGCTCAAGCCATCTGACCCACGAGGGTTGCCAGCGAACTGTGGCCATTCGGATGGCTTCTCGCCGCGACCTGCAAAGGAGCTTCGTGGAGAGGTCTGCGAACGATGCGCAAGGTCCAATGCTGCAGATGACGTAGAAATCTAAGAACCCTAGTGTGAATACTTGGGCACCGAAGTGAAAGGAGAATCGTACCTTGGACGCGTAAGATGCAAATTTGTCATCATCGGAGGTCGGAAGGTGCCTCATAGCGTCTTCGCCATGTGAGGGACAGTAAACACAACTGAAACTGCCGAAACTCACTGTACATCTCCTGGTCCAACTGTTCATCGAGCATCATACCAACATTGTACTGCTGACCTGGACGCCCCATGTCGTCCTCACTGTATCGACCCCTGGACATAATCGATT